TAGTTTAGTCCTTATAACTTACTCCACTGAAGGAGTCCTAATTTCAATATCAGATCAAGGAGTTTAGTCTGATTGCTGTATCCCAAATAGTGCCTGATACTCAGTAGGCATTCAGTGAATATATTTTGTTCCAATTCTGGCATACATGCTGCTGAAGGAAGCGCTCAGTGAATGTATTTTTTTAAATCTTTAAAAAAAAATTTATTTTTAATGTTTTTAAAAATTTATTTCTGAGAGAGAGAGAGACAGTGCGAGCAGGGGAGGGTCAGAGAGAGAGAGAGAGGGAGACACAGAATGTGAAACAGGCTCCTGGCTCTGAGCTAGCTGTCAGCACAGAACCTGACGTGGGGCTCGAAGCCACAAACCGTGAGATCATGACCTGAGCCAAAGTTGGCTCCCCAACGGACTGAGCCACCCAGGTGCCCCTAATGAATGTATTTTGAATAAATGAGTAGATGAGTGAAAGGCATACCTGTAAGGTAAGTGGTGCCTGGACAAGGAATCCTTACATCTGGCTTCAGTCCTGACTGAATAACTTTTCTTTCTAGCTGTGAACACTTGGGACACCCATCACCAAATGGTGAACACCATGAACTGTCCTGGCCAGTTCAGCATCTATAAGTGTGTGTTATTAAATATGATGGTACATGTGAAAGTGCTCGGAAAATAGAATATTTAGCAGGAAGCCAGTTGTTCTTAGGCAAAGCATCACAGAGCAACACACACACAGGCATAAGAAGATACTTTGCCCAACTTAAAATCAAGCAGAGAAATAAGTTCGTTGAGAGAAATTGAGTTTGTATATTTTTAACTAAGGAAGTCATAAAAAGAAAATGTTCATGTCATAGGCCTTCATAGGAAGGGAGTTAAGAAATCATGTGTCTAGCATCCTGCCTTCAGAAAGGAGAAGGCAACATTAGTGGTTATTATGAAGGTAAAGGAGACCGATCGACTGTATTGGAATATTGACCCCATTCTTGTCTGGCTGTGAGACCTTATGTAAGTCACTTAACTTCCTTGTGCCTTAGTCTCTTTATCCAAAAAGTTCAGAAAATAGAACACCCGCCTGAAATATAGCACTGGGAGGATTGTATAAGATAATATACTGAAAATATTTTGAGCAATACCTGTTCAACAAATTGAACTATTATAAATTTATATAATTTAAAATTATATTTGGCTATTATATTCATTTTGCAAATAACAGGATGGAATTTCAGAACATTTAGGGGATTTGTTCGAGGTTGCACAGCTAGTACATGGTAGGGAAAGATCTAGAATCCAGAATCTCTGCTTCCTGAAGCACACTGGGGAGATTTAAGCATTTTTAAAAAGATCTATGCTACTGAGCATATTATTAAATAGACATTTGCTGCAAAACAATGTACTACTAGAATATCACTTCTTCCTAAAGAAAAACACAGTTACATAGATATGTTTTTTTAAATACTGAGAGAATAAGTACACCAAAATGCAAATAGTGTGCATTTATGTTGGGGAGAGTTGGAGAATATGAATTATTTGGTTTTCTTTGTGTTTTGCTGTTTGCATGTTAATAGAATATAATTGCTATGACTTGTGTAGTTGGAAAAATGTTACTTAAATGCAGAATAATAATAGTAACGGCAACAATGAAACCCCTGTATTTCTTGAATGTGTGATCATACCAATTCCTTATTTTATTTACACTGCTTTCCAGATCCCAGGCAATTCTAGTTTGGACTCTTGCTAAGCTCCCGAAGAAGCTGGTACGTATGCCAGTCTTATATGCCGCCGTGTTCTGATTCTTTACTTAGGTGTCCTTTTCCTCACATGCCAAGTGCCATTTTCTATTCTGGGTACCTCATATAGAGGCCCTTTCAAAATGTCGGATGAGTGACATATCCATCAGGATCCTAACTCTGGACGCAGACCATATTCCGGAGGACAACCCCAACACCAAAACCATGAAGAAGATTAGCAGAATCTCATTCTCTATATTAGTGAGTTATCATTATGCATTTGCATATTCTATTTCTAGAATGTCTCCCGTTGTTTTCCCTTTTATACGAAAACACTGATTAACCACCATTAACATTTATACCTCACAACCGATTCTTGCTCCTTATCAAGAAGATTTTAATAATCATCCTTTGAAAAATGTCCCAAGGAAATCTGAGCATATTACCCTTCAGGGTGATTTCATATTGTGAGTGGTTTTCACAGACATTTTTATTACTTGCTAAAATAGTTTACAATCTAAGTTTCAAGGTTGCTCTCAGAAGGCTTTGAGCCTATTTCTCTAACAGAGTTATAAACAAGAGTTTCAAAGGCAACGGAAAGTATGTAAAGTATGGGGCAGCCTCTCGTGCTGCCTTCCACAGCACACCTCAGTCAGCCGGCTTCTCCCAGCTGCTGGGAGAGTGACTTTGGTTGTTGCAGAACCTCTTGTGGCCTGGTGTCCTTTATCAACAGACTCCAGATAGATACCTCTGGAATGTTTCAAAGTGGGTATATGGAAATATTCACATGGTCTGGTTGGGAGAGCAGGGAGGAGTGGTATTTAACAATGCATCGCACAGAGACAGTATCAATGAGAAATTCTGTAAACACAGGAGCCACTCAGCTTCTGACCAACAGCAGTCACACATCTGAGCTGCTGTAGGATGTAGGCTGACTGGCCTGTAAGGACAACATTTGCAGTGGACACCTGATGGCCCCAGTGAACCCCTACCCTGCACACTCATTTGATCTATGTGCCCCTAGACAATCATCAGTTTAAAACATGAGAATATAAGTGAAGAATATAAGACATCACCCAGTTTTCACCTGGGGAACATAAGCTAGGCTTTCTGGGCCTCATTAGAAAACTAAAGATAATAATAATACCAGTAATAATAGTAAGTAACATTTATTGAGGATTCACTCTGTGTCTGGTACTGTTTGAAGCACTTGACATAGATTATTCTTTTATTGTAACACTTTCCTTACAGAGTTTGTTGCTAGAATTAAGAGAAGTTACTCAGGCCCTGCCTGATAATACTGAGTTCTCAAAAAAAGTTAGCTGCCTTTTTGCTGTTGTTTTTGTTATAAGTAACTACAAATTATAACAATAAATGCTTCCTACTCCAAATAAAATTCCACAAGGCTTTTAAAAAGTTTTAGTTAGATTAAATCCCAAGGCTTTGTAATATCCCAGAATTACCCACAACCTCACCCAGTACCTGACACATATGAAATGATTGACATTTATAAAGATAATGAGTATCTTCAGTTGTATGGATGTTTTGTTAAGATTTCTCACCGAAGAAAGCTTGCAGTTTACTTCAGATTCTCAAAGTATTATTTCTTGGTCTAAGAAATAAAAGAGCACTACTTCAAAGATTTTGTCTTCTTGCAATTGAGAAGGTGCTAATAAGCATAATAAGGAAGTGGGAGGGAAAGATCTACGTGGGGCTGGCTCTGACAACCATAAGAGGATTTGGAAAAGCCTTGTGATGCTAGCCGCTGGGTTGGTAACCAGGAGGGCTAACTCCCCCCAACCTGGAAAGTCTCATTTGCCCTCTAGGGCCATTTACATAAGATTCTGTGGGATTACTGGCTGTACATCTAGCCTTGAATGGATGATTCAATGTCAGATAATTTCGGTCTGGTTTTGTAGGAATCATAGAATATCTACACTGGAAAGAAGCTCATGAATAATCTGTTTCAGGGTTTTCAAATTTGTAGCAGATGTGCCACCGCTCTCTGTGCTCATGGAAGGAAAGCGTCTCTAACTGGGGACAGCACTCTTTACATCTGTGCCTTTTAAACCCTTCTTAGCACAGTACTGTTCATAGCCCTTACCGAATGATTGAAATTAGCATGCACAGGAGGCCAGTTTTCTCCATCCATATCACTTGCTTACTGTTCTCCTATTCCAGATGGGAAAATCGAAGTGGTGACATTTAATGTGTCTACGGATTAGACTTGGATACTTGAAGTGAGTGATAAGAATGTTTTGAGATATTAAGTATTGTGACAACAAACTACAGTCATTTAAGTGCCAAAAATCACCTCCTGATTTCCCCCTCATCTTTCATAGAATAAAGAAGGAAACCCTTTTAAACCGTCATTTACCTTCTCCCCACACAGCAGTATAGAGGCAACTAAAAGCAGGCTCTGGAGTGATGAAAAGAAATTACAAATGATTATTTGAAGTATCTTTCCAGGTGTTTTCTTAAATCTTAAACAATGAGGTAGTGATATAAAGGTTCAGACCTCAGACCACTCCCTCTCATCCCTCAGCATCCTTGAAAAGAGCAATATGGGAAAGTTCTGTACTTAAATCTAAGAGACCTGGAGCTGTTACAACAAGCTGATGATCAGTCGCTTTCTGAGCCTCAGTTTCCCCTAGAGTAATAAGAGGACATATTGGACACATCACTGCAATAGAAAACTGGATTCTTCGTGCATGAGAGTGCAAAATCGTTCACTGTTGAAAAGCAGATTATGAACACTTATTTATCTTTCTCTGTGTGTGTGTGTGTGTGTGTGTGTGGAAAGGAAAGCATATTTAAGATGAGAGTGAGGGGCTGGGAAAAGGCATGAAAAGGTACATTTTCACCTTTTAAAATCATTGATCAATGACATAGACCTGGCTTCATAATTATTAAGCATCATTACAGTGCCTGTAACTTAGAATGGAACCCTCCCTCTGCATTATGAGGGCATAAAACTTATAAGCCTTGTCATAAACTTTTCCAGTTGATGCTGCAGGAAAAACTGGAAAATTTGGAGTTTTTAGGCAGACCAGCAGAGTTAAACTTCTGGCAAGACCTAGGATTTTTTTGTTTGTTTGTTTTTGAGCATGGTAAGGGTGGCTAGGGTAGGGAGCATGGCCAAATACATAGCCATCCCTCTCCTTTCTTTATCACATACTCTGAGTAAACTGGCTTAAATCCCACCCTTCCCTTTCTGCTTGCACTGACTCTTCTTTGCCATATGAAAGTTACAGATATCAATTAGAAAATAAGCCAGTATTATACGAGAACATATTTATTGGCTGAATAATAATACTTAGTTCAGGAATTACTAGAATTAGAATCCCTCCCCACCCCCCTTGAAGTACAAGCTTCCAGTAAGCAAACAGAAGGAAAAAACCCCAAACCAGAACGAATACATTGGTAACCTACAACATATCATTTGGGGGTGTGTTCCAACACTCGACTTTTTTGTAATGGACTGTAGCTCTGAGGACACAGGCATACAATGAGAGAGACAGCAAAACAGCTTAGCAACACGAGTGTATACCCACCACAAAGCTTGCGCTCCTTCAACGTGGCCACTGCAGCTTACACACACTCACAGAGGCACCTTGGACATCTCCCTGCAAAGGACTATTTGCATATAGCTTCTAGTCAATAGTCTTACAACCCCTCCCCCCAAACCTCAAAACTAAAAACAAAACCTTGAAGACCATGGTTAATAAATAAGAGAGAAAAAGAGAAGAAACAGACAGGCCTCAGAGCACCTCAGACAACTGCCAGCTTTCAAAGCCCAAGAGGGAAGGCTGAAGAAGGCAAAAAGGCACTCTGTACTATGCTCTCTGCGTATTTTCTCCAGGATGGGGAAGTTTAATCACTCCCTCCTGCATAAACCAAGTCCTTCTATGTGGTTGAAACAGGTGTCTCTGCAGAGTTAGAAAGTCCTCTAGGAAAGGCCGGGGAGGCATGGCTTTAAATTGTTCTGTCCAAGTAACAAGTCTATAGCAATCCCATAAATAATGTACAAAAACAAAACAACTCGACCCTCACTTATTTCTTTTTAAGATCCCTTTAGATGATTCTCCAAGTGCAAATCCAGATATAAAAAAAAAAAAATAAGGAAACATCAGCCTCATCTTCTGTCCCCACCCTCCGCAACGGGGCTGATTTGATGCCCTCTCCCAGGCCCTGTGCCCTTCCACCTACACTTTAAGATAATCGTTTTTCAGCCGACCCAGCCGGGTCCCGTGGCTCCGGATGGTGAGGGCGAGCAGCTCGTATTTGTCCCTGAGCCCCACCGAGATGTCGAGTGTTTCCTTCAGCAGGGACCTGGTGTGGACCAGCATCCCCAAGAAGTCCTCGTTGAGCCTGCTCTCTTGCCGGCTGTCCTGTTCCTGGCCCTGCTTAAACTTGCTCTCCAGCTCGGTGAGGGACTTGTCGGAGTTGGAGTAGGCGTCCCCGATCTGGTGGGACTCCCGCCGCAGGTACTTGCCGTAGCTCTCTTCCCCGTCCAGGTCGTAGGAGATGCTCTTGCTGATGCCCTCCAGGACACGCCCCGCATCCTCCACCTGGCGGCCCAGCACCGTGAACTCCTCCCGAAGGCTGAGGCTCAACACACTGCTGGCCTGGCTCCCCTCCCCCTGGGAGCAGCGCCGGTGGTCACTCACCCGGAAGAGCAGCTGGCACTTCTCGGGGTCATCATTTTCTTCATAGTCCCCGTCGGGCACGAAGTAGTGGTGCAGGGTCCCATTGGACATCTCCGGGTAGAGAGGGCCATCGAAGTAGCCCTGACACAGGTGGCAGAAGAAACCCATCCAGAGGAACTTCAGGAACACCATCCTGGAGGGGCAGGATGACCGGGGACCCCTTGGAGAAGACTGTTCGCCCAGGCACGCAGGAGGGGGGGGGTCCCCTTGGCAGTCAGTGCCTCCCCAAGACGGCGACAGCCTCGGTCCCCGCCGGCTTGCAGCACCCTGGCCCCGCCTCCCCAGCAGGCTTCATGTGGCTGTGTCACCAGCGCCTGGGGAGCGCGGCCGCCGCAGCGCAGCGCGGGAGGCGCCCCGGCTCTGCGCTCCTGCGCTCGGGCTGGAACCCGGCCGCGTCTTGCCCGCGGGATCGTGGCGAGGAGAGGGAAGCCCTTGTCCAGGGCTCTGGAGGCCCGCGGGCTCCGCTGCCCCGCTCTCCTCGGAGTTGCCCCTTGCTCCTGAGAGATGGAGCCTGTGGCTGGAGGGAAAGACTCTCCTTCTGATACTATTTCAACTTCTGCACTGGGTGGGAATGCGGAGCTTTTCCTTTGGCTAATGATATCCTGAGGATCTCTCTGCTCTCAAATTACAGCTGGTTTCGTCACTTGGAAGCCAGGGAACAAGTTTGGAAAGAACCCTCTCACCAGGTCTCTTGTTATTAAAGGTACAGGATCTTTTTTTATTTTTTATTTTTTATTTTTACGACTGGAAGGGAAACCTTGCAAAATAGAATTTAGCTTGAAGGAGAAAACAGGAACAGGGTAAACAGAATTTCCACAACAGAAAGATCCGTTTGATATTAACATATTGGGGGGGAGCGTGATTACCCTGCGGGAATACTACATCACATTTGAGATAAATCGCAGTAGACTGGATTTGTTAAGTGTACCTATTTTTGTCATTACAAAGTTTGTGACTTTGAAGGCAAATTTGCATTGTAGGACAAGGCAGGTTTGTTTGGAAACGGTTAGTTAGTTAAAAATTTTTTAGTAACAATGCTTGGGAAGCAATAGCAACATAGAAAGCCGATTACTGCAGTAATCAGTTGTGAGTCTGTATAGGAACAAAAGCTGAAAACGGAATTTCGCCCATTTAATAATGGACCACTGAGATGATGGTTTAATCTTAAGAAAAACCATCCATGCTAAGCTTCTGCATTGCATCTTTACAAGCCTAAAGCTGCTATTATCTCTTTTGAGATACTTACAAGTTTTTGAAGAATGTAGGCCTGGGGTTCTTATCTCCATTTTCCAGATGGAGAAACCAAGGGGCACAATGAGAAACAAATTGTTTAGACTCACAAAGTTAGATTGTAGCAGAGCCGGCACCCATTAAGTCACAGGGTCTTTTCATTTACTTTAGAAAAACAAAGTTTTTTTTTTTCACCAGGCCATGTTAGTTTCTGATCTCTGAGTTAATTAACAGATTGCCATCCATGAGGCTAACTCATTTGTTCAAGAAATATTTATTGAGCATTTACTATATGCTAGAGTCTATTTTATTTTTATTTTTTATCTATTTAATGTTTATTTATTTCTTTTGAGAGAGAGTGAGAGAGCACAAGAGGGAGAGGAGCAGAGAGAGAGATGGAGGGAGAAAATCCCAAGCAGGCTCCTCGCTGTCAGCGCAGAGCTGAACACAGGGCCCACGAAACATGAGATCATGACTTCGGTGGAAATCAAGCGGATGACAACCAAGAGATGGCCCCTCAGCTGACTGAGCCCCCCAGGCACCGCTAGGGTCTATTTTAGATTTTTTTTTTCACAGAGCTGTGGGGAAAAAAGGAGACAAATATTTACCTTTGTGGAACTTACATTCTAGGAAATGGAGAGAAAATCAAATAATATAAATAAATAAGATATATTGTATGTTGACCGTGATAGGGTTGGAGAAAAGAAAGAGAAAGGATGGGAAAGTGGAGGCAGCATTCCTATTTTCATAGTTATCTCCTTTCTGCCTTGAAATGTAGCTGAAATACTCCTGTGATCTGCCTGTGTTAGGACTTACCTTCCTCTCCAAGTCATAAGGGACTGGTGTCATTCAGAGCTACAGTGCCATACGGTTTTTATACTGTCATACTTGTTGCCATCACTTTCTGACATAAACAGTCCGGTCTCTTGGATAGACAGTAAGAAGTCTGGTTAAGTAACTGGATATTTTGTCAATGTGGTGCCACATGCGTAGATTTTTTGAGACATGTTGAGTGCACATTTTCCTTCTTATCCAGATATTTGGCATCATGAAAACGTCGACAAAGGAGTTTGTTTTTTTAGCAATTATGCTAACTAAAAAATCTATGACTTATTTTCACTGCATTCCAGGAGAAAACTACCACCTTCTCCATTTGAGAGATTGGACTGTTGGACTCGAGAGCCATATTACTTCATCCTTTTTGTTTGCTGGGACATTCAAAATGACAACAGATGGATACAAATTGGTCACTTGGCCAAAGAAGGGAAAAGGAATTTACTTGGATTCACTTCACTTCTTGCACAATCCCTCCCTGACTTACTAACCAATTCAATTAAGCAAACCCAAATTAAGCACTTATTATTAATCTGTGCAGGGCACAGTGTTAAGTTAGGTATAGATTCAAAGATGTGTAGTAAGAAGTTTCAACCTACAAAGAGCTTGCTCTCTCTAATTAAAGAGTAGGGCAAATATACACAAACAATCATGATAAGAATGGCTACCAGTATTTACTTCTTCCTACAATTATCTCATCTAAAGATATAAACCCCAAGTCATGTATTAGGAAGGCATCACTGTGGATGAAATAACTGAAAGTCTAATCCAATCAGACTAAACTCAAAAAGGAATTCACTGACTTGCAGAAAGTCTATAATTAGATTTTCAGTCTAAGCCTGGTTCAGAATCTAGTTTCTCTCTCACCATTTTTTGGTTCTACTTCCTCGCTTATTTTGGTAGTCTTTTCCATTTGTGGTTCCAAGATAGCTACCAGTGTCTTCTGGGGCTATAAACTCCCTTGTTTATGTACAGTAGGAATGACAGGTTATGAATGGTGGGTCCTTGAGATCAGCCCATTGACCATAGTTGCCTTGATTTGGATCATTGATTCATCCTTGAGCCAGACTGACTGTAGTCAGAAGTTTGGGATCAGCCAGCAGGCTTAAAACAGTAAGAGCCTGGTTCTGTAGCTGAAGGCAAGGTACCATGCAAATGACATGGCTGAAATAGTATGAGAATGGATTCTGAGGTAGTAATTATAAATATTCCCCCTACCCCATGCATTTGTCTTTATTAACTACATCTGAAAGTCACTGGCACTCTTTTGCGGTTGCGTACTCTCAAGTATTTAACAGCTTGCTCTACGGAGAAGAGAAAAAGCCTCTTTGTAGCATTTGCTGATGTCCACGGCATGAAAATGCTGACCACATCTGGGTCACTGAATGCAGAGTTAGAAGGATGTGTGCAGTGGCACACCATTATATAACATTTCCATCATACAGATACATTAGATCAAGATAACCTCAAGAGCATAGAAAATAGTAAAATGTATTAAAATAACTGAGAAGCGATGAGCTTTACCTATTCATTCCCCTTATTTTAATACAATTTATTTAACTACAAGTTTAAGTAATTTATTTTTCATTATTATGATTGTATTTAACAATTGACTTGCAAAATCCTCCAAAACCTAACAATTCACTCTCATGAGCCAGTGCTAGTCAGCTCCAGCATGTCAGGGCCTTTTGCACTAAGCACTTCATCGTGTTCATTTTTAAAAGTTATTTACTTATAGGGTCTTCATGTGTGTCCAATGCCTTCTTGGGCTGATCTACTAGAGTCAGAGTTAAGGTGGGGTTCTAAGAATTGGCCTGAAGTAAATAGAGAAGGAAGAAATGTCCAAATCTAGACATACAAGACAGAGGACTTGGAAGAGTAACATTAAGCAGTACCATCTGCTGATAAGATAATAGTTGAGTCTAGGGAAGAAAACTAGAGATGAAGTCAAAGGACAGGCACTGGGAAAATTTAAGAATGAAGGAGGACCCCAGATGCATGTGAGTGGATAAACACCATCACCCGGTACCAGAGGCTTATTTGCAGTCCAAGCCATGCAGTGCCAACAGGCTTGGCTAGCTTAAAGCTTGGGTGTCCTGTCTTCTTTTCAGTGCACTTTAAAATCTTATTCCTTTGATCCAGTTAACTACTTTAGAGAGGGAAGCAGAAAATCAGGCAGGCACCATGAGCCTAAGGGCCTATAAGATTTCTTAAGCTGTATGATTTCCCCCTGCCAAAGATTTTTGTGATTCCCCTGTTTTTGATCATTGTATAATCATGATAAAAGTGGAATTTCTATAGAAAAGAGGTTTGTATGAGGTGAGTTCCCACTATGTGGTCTAGAAACCCAAAAGGAGTCTGGGAAGTGGAAGCTCTCACTCTCAATAGCTCCTTCCCCCAAACTATTAGGCTGAATTCTTAGGTCATGTCAGAGAAGGAAGAAAGGCAAAGGGAGTTAACTTGAACTAGAGCAGAGGTTCTGGGCTGGGAGAAGAGAGAAAAGAAAGACAAGGGAAGATAAGAAGGGCCCAATATTAGCACTTTGGGTATTATTTTATCAGTTAATAAGTACTCGCTAGCATTTATAGAGCAGCCATTATTTACAGAGAGTGGGAAGGAGAAAGGAAGAGAAATGTATGAAAGAGAAAAACAAAGAAAACTAGGGAAAGAAGAAAGGTAGCAAGTAAAGAAGGAAGAAAAGACAGAATGTAGAAGAGAGAGAGTAAAATAAATTTTGATCATCTAATCTATTTGTCACATTAACTTAATGAAGTGGTCATTATTATTTGCTGTAAGAACATTGGTTAGAAGCAAAGCATTATTAGTTAACAAGAACAATCACAAAGTTCCCATGAAATACAGGCAATAAAATATACTCATGAAAACATAATGAGAATGCTAACAAGGAAATAAGTATAATGTGGGAAGAGAGTCTGATCAGTTCCCTCAGTCTGTCTACATTAGTCAGAATAGGCTAAGATATGTTGTGGTAACAAAGATCACCAACATGTTAACACCAAATTCAAGTCTACTGCAAGTCAAGATGACTCAGTAACTCCTCTATACCTTAGTTGTGATGGCATTTACTCTAAAGGTCCTTCCTTGATTTCTGGATTTCAATTAGTTCTCCCTATCAGTGCCTTTTATATAACTGTTTTTTTGTTTTTCTCTCATGGCACTTTCCACTGTTTATAATTGTACTTTAATTAATGTATTTATTTGTTCTAGGCTTGTCTCTCCAGCTTGATTTACACTACATAAAGACGGGAGCTGTATTCCCTTCTATCTCCACAGGGCCTAATACAGTGGCTGGATCATAGGAAGAGCTTAATGAATATATGTCAGCACCCTAGTGAGGTTAGTCACTTCCTTGTTTAGTGTTTCAGCAAGAAGTTTTTGTAGTTAGTGTTTCAATGGTACTTTTTCCTTGTTCTTCTATTATGAGTGTTGCATTATATTAGATAACTTATGAACAAGTCTGTCTTCCCCACTTGACTGTGAATTCCTCAGGGTTAGGGA